CTCAAAAACTGCGAACAAATACCTTTTAATCATAATTGACAAGTATTCCAGATACCCATTTGCATTCCATTGTTCCCAAATCACCTCTGATATAGTAATAAAACATCTTTTAGAAATATTTTCTCTTTTTGGCACTCCTGCCTGCATTCACTCCGATCGTGGTACTCAGTTTGAAGGAAGAAAACTTAGAAACTTTCTTTTAGGCAACGGTGTCAGCAAGATACGAACAACACCATGCGACCACAAGGAAACAGGCAATGTGAAAGACTAAACTCTACAATCATGAAAACAATAAACTTAGCTTTACAAAATTTTGAACTAGAAAAAACTGACTGGGAACTGGTCTCCTTGCAGCTCTATCCTCTATTCCATCCTTACTATGCACTTCAACAAATTCTAGTCCACACAACAGATTAATGGGTTTCAAACGCTCAACTATTACTTGTGTTGATCTACCTGACTTCCTAGTAGAATCAGGTAGTACTGTCCTACATAAAAATCACTTTTGATTGAAAGGAGATCCATTGGTAAATCCAGTCACTTTGCTTGAAACTGTTTCACCACACTATGCACATATAAAATATATGAATGGCAGAATTGACACTGTATAAACACGAAATCTAGCACCATGTGCAACTCCCCATATTAAAGAAATAATCCAACCACCCGAAACCTTTGAGACATCAATTTCACCCAAAGAAGACAGTTTAACAGCTACAAATGATAGCAATAACATTGAAACCGATATATTACCAACTGATTGCCATCTTCTGTCTGACACTTATGATTTACCTTCTCCAAATAAAACGACTACTAATACCAATATTACACCATCGATAACTCAATATCCTGACGTCACTACTACCCAAAACTTACTAGTTAAAACTAACCATCCACATTGTATTAGAAGACCATCCTCAAAGCTTAATTTGTAACAAAACTTAATTAAATAAATACTGTATATATCTAATGGAAGGGCGGAAGACTGTGATATTGTGTTATTGCAATATTGCAATAACTTTATTAAATTTACATTATGTATATTGTGTTTCTTTATATTTTAGATAATATAATAAAAACCTTACTACTAAATTACTTGTATTAGTCTTGATTGGGTCTACAACAATATCATTAGACACAAATAAGTGATTTTAAAGTTCTGGATTTCAAATCATATTCAATAAAATGATCAAGCATTATTGATTTTTATTTTGCAAGCAATGTAATGAATTGAGGTACCTCAAATTGTGATCGTTAATTGTTCATTTAACATATATTTTGATTTATTAACACCTTGATTTAGAAACTTGATTTAAAAAAACATTTCTTTAGCTCAGCCTTAAGGAGAAAACAAAAAGTCGTTTTTTTTTTTTTTTTTTTTTTTTTGTAAATTTACAATACAACTGTTGGGATTTTTCAAAAATTAATGATAAAAGTTTTCTTGAATTTTTTGTTAAGGCAATATTCAAAGATTTATTTACATATTTTACATTTAAGGTTATCATTTGACCGTTAAGGTTCATTGAGATTTCATTGAGAAAGGTCCAGTTAGGTTTAGTGATGTACTTGACATATTATTTATTTGTTTTAATCAATTCCTAATTAGTTCAAACATTAAAAAAAAACCTGTTAAATGTTAACAAAAACAACTTAATTTAAAGGTAATTTGTACTTCAAATTAAAAAATACTTTTGAAGTAACAAATTATTAACACCAATAACAGAGTTAATGAGTTAGGACTCGCTTAAAAACTGTCATAATTTAGGAGGAGAGAGGTTAAACGAGCCCTAGTATAATTGTAATTTAATGGCTTGAAATTCATTTATTCTTTTACACAGTATACAATTTTAAAACTGGTAGAGTTTCTCTTAGATAGTAATATTAAAAAAAAAAAAAAAATCAAAAGCAGTTCAATTTATCTTAATTTAACCTAAACATGTTATGCTGACTGTGTTGCTGTCATGTGACATGTCATGTGACATGTCACAACACATGAAATCCTTACAAAAATAAGTACTTTTCATATTTGCATTTAACAAATTTTAAAGAAAAAAAAATACTTTGATTTTTGGTTGCTGCTTGTGAATCTGAAATTATCATTAAAAAAAAAAATAATTTGACTTGAATTGTTGGACTGTTTTGTAATTAGTCAATTTTAAACTTTTTATAAAACTTTAATTTTTAAAGTTTTATAAGAACAACTTGTAATTTGTTTTATAAGAACAACTTGGTATTTGTCTAGTAAGTTAACTTTCTGTTTGTTTTGTTGGATTGTCTAGCTGTTTGTTGTGATTGTGTAATAAAATCAATTTTATTGATCATTACATTTAAATATAAGAAATTGTTAGAACTCTTTTAAATATTATGCAATTAAGCTAAAATAACATAAACATGTGTTTTCTAGAGATATGTGTTGGTATTGCTTTAATATAACAATTAAAATTTTATAAATTTACATACTTAAAAGTTTATATCAGGGATGCGGAGTCCCAAAAAGGACTCCGGATTTGAAAGTCACAAAAAGATTACTTTATCCTAGTTTTTGGTATCCAGGACCTCTAAAAATATAAATAAGTTTATGGACTACTAATAGGAAAAAAATTAAGACTTTTAGGAAAGAAGAACAATCATTTTTTGAACCCGGAGTCCTTAGGTATAATGGCAGTAAGGACTCTGGGACTCTGCGCTTAAAAACAATAGGTTTCAAGTCATTAAATCTCATGAATTTTTTTCTTATAACAGATCACAAGTCAACAAACATGTTTAGAGCTTCTGGACACTACAGGCTTAGAAAAAGTAGAGATATAAAGCTGGAGTCCTTTTGGGACTCCACATCCCTGGTTTATACCAGAGTTTAATTTAACAGTCGGACATTGTCTGGCTAAAACCTCAGATTGTCCGATCAATTTACAAGTCATCGGACATTTTGTCCGGCAAGATTTTTAATTCTTTAAAATAAAATTTTATTCGTTGATTTGAAATTGAAAAATTTAAACTTAATGTAAACTATTAGACAAACTTATAAAATATGTTGATAATGGAGGCATTCATTCCCAAAAAAAGCGCTGTTATTAATTGTAGTTTTAATGACTGTTCTTTAACAGTTTTATTGTTATATTATTAAATTTAAAATTATTGCTTATTTAATACGATCGCAAAAGTCAAAGTATGTTCGATTGATTACTGCAAACGCCGTGGACACCAAAAAGCAAAGAAAAGCTAGCAGCTTGAAAAATTTGATAATAAAAGATTTTACATATGTGTTTTTTTAGAGGCTGAGATCTCATCGATGGAATATTTTTAAAAAAACATTAAGAAAATATACTTTTAAATATTAACGCTATAATCATCCAAATCATTCTATTTTAGCTTGAGCGGTTTCTTGGTGGCATCCTGGTCCTACTTGAGTTTTCCGATTCTTTATTTATTATTTGTTTTTTAAACTATATCTTTACTTGTACTTTTTTTCTTATTATTTATTATATATATATATATATATATATATATATATATATATATATATATATATATATATATATATATATTTATTTATTTATTTTATATATATATATATATATATATATATATATATATAAAAGATTAAAAAGTTCTAGCGTTATAAAACTTGTCTGCCAAAGAAGGAGTGCCTTTTTGAAAAGTAGATAAATAATAACCTGTAGAACTCATAAAATTTTCTTCGTTGAATTGATCGAATTTTAATAACATGCGGCGCATGGAATTTTTAAATTAAATAATAGCCCGTAAATATTATATTGCGTTTGATTTAACCGCCTTTAAATAAGTAAAAATGAAGTTTAAATTTTTTATATCAAGTTTAAAAATAATATGTTTTTCTTATTATTTAATATATTAAAGACATTATTATACTATATTACTATAACAAACTTGTTTTCTTGCCGTTTTTATTATTGATAAAAATAGTTGCATGAACGCCATATAAATACCTTTTTGGCGCTAAAAGTGGAGCTTATGCGCAAAATTGACACTTAGCATATATTTTTTTAAGTAAAAAAATTTACATAACTTTTATAAACCGGTAATGCAATTCAATGTAAACTAACAAGGTTTTCGAGAGAAAAAACTCATCTTTCGAGAGAAAAAACCCGTCTTTCGAGAGAAAAAAACCCGTCTTTCGAGAGAAAAAAACTTTGTCTATCTAAAAAAATGCGCAGTATTGAATTTAAACTATTTCATTTAAAATACAAAGATCTACGATGATAAAAATTTTGAAAATTAAAAAAAAAACTACAACTTCACTAGCCTAAAATAAAATAAATTGGGAAAACATAACATATATTTCGATTGGAAAATTGGGTTTCGTAAAACTCAGATACGCCAGAAGCTAGTCTAAAAAAACCCATCTGCAGTAATTTTTTACTCCCGACATTTAAAGAACTATTTTTTCCCTGTGTTCCTTTTAACAAAACAAATATGAATATATGTAAATATTGGTGAAAATTATTTGTTTAAATTTTATTTCAAAAATTTGATCGTACAATGTCCGACCAAAATAACTTTTGGTCGGACATTCTGTCCGGGACCTTATAAAAAATTAAATTGAGCCCTGTATACCAATCAAAAAATAAAAATTGGCATGCTATTAGGTAATAGTTAAAATTCACATTTTTACATTCTTACACATTTTTTAATTTTTTTTAATTTTACAAAAGTTTTTTGTGTTATCTGTCAAACAAAGGCATTTATTACAATATATACTCTATAACCACAGTTGGAGTAAAATACTTATATTTTGTAATGTGCTACGTTGTAGTATTTTTATTTACATTATATTTGAATGAAATTTATCTTTATTTTTTGAATAATAATTTATTAATACAAACCAATCAACAGAGTACCAATAAGTAATCAATAAGAAAAACTCACTTAAACAAAACATCCACTTTGCTGCTGAGATTTCTAATAATTTATGAATAATTTAAAACTTTTTATTTATTTAAAAGTTATCATACTTTTATTACCTGATGCCAAAACCTTCCATTTCTTTTTCTATAATCTTCTTGTGATGCAAGGGTTTTAGCACATCAAGAACCAATAAAATTAAGTTACAAGTTCGAGCAACTAAAAAAATAAATTATCATCAGGTTACTTACAAATATTATTTTACAAGTTAAAAATACTTTTTCATGCTTTAAATTATTTTTTAATATTAAATTTATAAAAACAACTAATTGCTTTTAAATTCAAACAGCTTTGATAATTTTTATTGAATTTAAAAGTTTTGAACAAAATTTGAAAAAAAAAAAAAGAAATTATCCTAATTATTAGAATTAAAAACAACTAATTGTTTTTAAATTCAAACAATTTTGATAATTTTTATTGAAATTAAAAGCTTTGAACAAAATTTGAGAAAAAAAAAAAAAAAAATTATCCAAATTATTAGAACTAATAAAAACTGTTACATAAAAAAAGGTAAAATGTGATAAAATTGAAAAATCATAACAAAAAAATAAATACAAAGAAACCATTTTGATCTAATATAAACTTTCAATTTTATTTTAATTAATTTATTATTCTTTTATTTATTTTTGTACTTAAAAATAAAAAATAAACATAATAATATTATGTTTATTTTAATTTTAATATATATATATATATATATATATATATATATATATATATATATATATATATATATATATATATATATATATATATATATATATATATATATATATATATATATATATATATATATACGGTAAACGCTCTATATAAGCAACCTCTCTATAAGCAACATTCTTTATAAGTAACCTCTATACAAGCAACTTTTTTTAGTTCAACTGTTCTGTATAAGTAACTTTTTTTTTTAAAGTTAAATATTTGAGTTAAGTTTAGGCTAATTCAGAAGTAAAATCAGCTGTTCACAACAACATAACCTCAAAGTATAAAAAATTCTGTTCTGCCCTGCGTAAACGCTAGAGCAGGCCTTGCGATGAATAAGAACTGCGCGACACATAAGCACGACGTGATTTTTGACGTCATTAAATTCTTTATATTTGCTTTTCATATTTATCGACATTAACTGCACTAATTTACTTAATTACCGCAAAACTACTTTAAATCGTTTATGTAGAAATGTTATTATTTAAAAATGTTTTGGAATGTTTTGTTTTTTAAAATGTAAAAACATTGATTTATTTCTCGATGTTTGTCACGTTTTGTCTATACTAAACGAATAAAAAACATTATAACTTAAATTTAAAAAAGATTATAAAATATGCTAATATTTGATTTTTTTTTTCTTAAATATGTAATTTAAAGTTTTTCAAATAATTATTTTTTCTTTTTAAAAAGTCAGCGAGTAATAAACTGGAAATTTTAATATTGTACGATTTAAAACTGTGCAATAGCTAATATTTTTACAAGCGATTTTATATAATATTTATTTATTTTTATTTATTTTCATAAAGCGGTTGATAAGCACAATCACTCGTATTAATAAAAAACTTAAACGAACGTTTTGATTTTTAATGTTAACAAGGAATTTTATTTCTAGTAAAATAAAATAAAATGTTAGAATAAAAATCTTATAGGTATAAAAGAAATACTTCAGCAAAAAAATTATTCTTAAAAATTATTATTAAAAATTATTCGAAAAACTATTGACGTTTTATTTTTCAGCAGCTGTACTTGAGCACCCTTCGTTGAGTTTCGATAACTTTTAACATAAAAGCGATCGTTATTATTTAAGTAATTTTTTTGAGTTACTTTTTACAAAAATTTTAATAACTGTACTTTTTTTATTGAATCAAGTAGAATACGTTTTAATATTAACCTTTTTTTATTTGCGCTCACCAATTTTTAAAATGTTTCCTCGAAATTACTCTTAAATACTTTAAATACGTCTAACAGTTAATAAATATTTTTAAATCTTTTTTTTTAAAACCTAACAAACCCCCGTAAAATAATTAAATTAAAAATCTAAAACTAAAAGAAAGTATTTTTGTTCAATTTTATCGACAACTTTGCTATTGCTGAATAATTTTATTAAAATGTTAGCTTATTATTCACATCGCCCGAAGCTTTATCGCAAGGCCTGCTAGAGGTATACATAAATTAGATTTGATGATGAGAGGGAAATCAAAATCCATTATTGCAACCACTAAATCAAAATGTGATAAAATCACTAAAACAACGCTATAGCAAACATCTACTTGGATGTCTTGCAGCCTAAGATTATATATGCGGTAGTAGTGTAGTGGTAGAGCGCTCGCTTCATAAACAAGTGGTTTCGAGTTTGATCCCCACCAAGTCCCTGGTAGTACCGCGCTCAACTCGTTTCACCGCGCAGCAGCCTTGTTCATCAAGGTTCGTGTTTCGGAGTTATAGAGTTGAGAGAGGGTTATAACCAAAAATAAGTAGCCTCCTCGTCTGTAGTGGCCTTCTTGGCCTTGAGGAGGTGAAATTAAAAAAAAAAAAAGACGGAGAAGATGGAATAGTTGAAAAACACTGAAAAATATAAATTTGAAAGATGTTACTTATTTAGTGGTGCAGGCATGATATGAAATTCCCGTCTCAGTTATACAAAATTCATTTAAACATCTTTTTTCGTCAAGTAATAAAATTCAATGAAACATTCCTTCCAATAACTTTTCAGAAGAAGATGATATTCCTTTGGCAAGATTATATAACTTGATATTTAATTATTGTAATTTAGCAGATACTGAAATTATAGAGTGAGCAAGTGGAACAAGCGAAGCAAATCATCCATTTAAGATTGAAGAAAATTATGAAGTGAAACTCCTGTTAAAGAAAATGAAAAAACGTTGGATGACTCCAATAAAAACATCAATGATGTTATAAACTCTTTTAATTTGGCAATAAAATGCGCAAAAAAAAAAAAAAAAAAAAAAAAAAAAAAAAAAAAAAAAAAAAAGAATTACCCTGCTTTCTTTTGTACTAAAAATAAGAGAAAAAGCATTAGGAATAAATATATGTAATTGTTTTTGTTTATTTTGGCAATCAGTCCTGTACTAAACCAAAGATTTATTAAAATTTGATTTTTTAATTTATTTTTTTTCTTAATGAAATTATTAACTACGCTTATATGATAGTAATAATAATAAAATATTTTCTTTTGCAAAACAAAACTGAATTTATTTATTGTACACAGTTTAGTTAGTAAAAGAAATAAGTAGAAACATTTTACTTTTCTTTTACTGACTAAACTGTAAGTTTAGTTGGTAGTTGTAAAATAAATAATGGTAAGTACTTTTATACTCCTTTTTTTCCCTATAAGCAGCTTTTCCTAATAAGAAACTTTTTTATTGAAATTGGTTCAAATAGCTTATATAGAGCTTATATAGAGCGCTCACTGTATAATATAAATAGAAACTAAAAAAAATAATTTGTAATACAAGAACTTGGATACTAAAAATTAAAAGCAATTAAAAATTGAAAAAATAACATTTTTTTACCTGAAATTACTTGTTTTCCACGCCCCTTTCCATCTTTTGCTCCTTCGATTATTCCAGGTAAATCAAGTAACTGTAAAAATTACAACTGCAGTAATTGTATAAAGCATAATTTTAAATTTTATAATTAAATTTATATCATGTAAACAGTTTACTTAATTTTAAAAAAAAAAGTTTCTATATGCTACTGTTCTATCTATAAATAAAATGCAATTGTTGTATTTAAGCACTGGTACATAGTGCATTAAACAAATAGCAAATAGCTGTTTGTTAAACTTTGGTACGAAAGGTTAATGAATAGTACGATTCATTTTAAAAAAATAGTACTATTTGTAAAACGAAGTTTAATGAATAGTAATAACATTTTTTTTTAAATAGTAATTAATTTTTTTTCAATTATAATAAAATTTTTTTTCAATTATCTACCTAGTTACTTACACTTGTCAACAAAAATTCAGAACCATCTTACGAAATTTGACAATTTTATATTTCTAATATCGCAACGAATAGTACAATTTGTTAAGAATTTGTAATATTATTAGTTTGGCAAATATTATGAGTATAGTAGTATTATTGCTAAGCTAGTATGGCTAAACTATTTAGGGGCTACAATATTATTAGTTCAGCACACAAACATGCTTAACAAAAAGCACTATTCATTAAGAAAAATTTTGTGTGCTAAACTAATAATATTGTAGTCCACAAGTAATTAAAAAAAAGAGAAGAATGAAAAAGCAGATATATGATTCATAAACTGTATTGTTTTCATAAATATTTTTAAAACATATGAATCTGAGTGTTTAATAGTTGTAAAAAACTTTTTTTTAAATTTTAAACAAACTTCATTTTTACATTTTTTTAAAACAATAACTATTTAGGATATTTTTGTAACTATCAATTCTTTATTTATATTTTTTTATTAATAATTATCTAACATACTTTAATAAAATGAATCAAAATGAAATAAAATAAAACCATTAATATTTTTAAAGCATTATTTTCAACACTTTTAAATGTAAAACATCTAAAATCTGTTCAGTTAATTCGTCATTATTATAATTTATATACAAAACTTTAAAAATTTTTAAAAGTTTTAAAGTTTTAAATTATTATAATTAATATATAAAATGATTGGCAGTATTATTAGATATTGGGTTAAAATATATATATTTTTAAAAGTACAACTTAGTATGTTGAGAGATTCACACAACTTGAAATCAGCAATTGTTGTATTTTGTGCATCACTTATATCTTTGTTAAAAAACGATTTCCTTAACATTGCTAAACAGTTCTAAATCCAGAAAGAAATTAGAACTGTTACAAAATTAGAAGCAGAAACTAGAATCTTTCTGTTTCTGCTTTAAAACACTGTTGACATTTGTGAATCAATTATAGCAATTTATATTGCAAACAAAATTTAAAATCAATTCAGTGCATGATAATATTTATCTTATTAAATTTGTGAGTAAAATATTGTTTGGGTAAAAAACATAAACACTAATTGTTAGTTCCAAGCCCCCCTATTGTATATGCACTTTTTAGGATTCAACAAGTATTTTTTTTTTAATTTTGGCTTGATGTTTCAGATTTTCTTCTGCAATGTGTAGTATATTTATGATAAGCAAACTACAAAAATTTACTGAACTCAAATGAATCCATTATAACTCAACTTCCAAAACAACTCGCTTTCAAAAAGTTCCAAAAAATCATAATTATAGCTCACATATCAGAACTGACACAGATTAAACCTGATTTTTACTGTGTCATTTTTATATACAGTATACTGTATAGTTTTTATATTTTATGTACGGTATACTGTATACATTTACTATACGTCTATATTTTACTTAACATTAGTACAGTTTGTATACTTTTTTTGTTTGTAAATACAGTTTGTATTTACAATACATCTATGTCTATATTGTGCTAATGTAATGATTGTAAAAGAGAATAAATATTTTATTGTTTTTACATTATTAATTCAATAAGCAACAAACTACTTATACATAATTAATTCAATAAGCGACAATTAACATAATTAATTTAATAGCAACAAATTACTTATACATAATTAATTTGATAGCAACAAACTACTTATACATAATTAATTTGATAGCAACAAATTACTTATACATAATTAATTTGATAGCAACAAATTACTTATACATAATTAATTTAATAGCAACAAATTACTTATACATAATTAATTTTATAGCAACAAATTACTTATACATAATTAATTTGATAGCAACAAATTATTTATACATAATTAATTCATCAAATTACTATTTTACCATAATTTATCAAAACAAAAAATAAATTGTATCATGGTTCACTCTAGCACAAAATAAACTTAAAGTATAAAGGTATAATTCATGGTTATAGGTATTTGGCTAAAGCAAAAATAGCTAACAAATAAAAATATGTTATACAGTTTGTATTTGGACTATACCTTTGTACCAGAATTGCTTAAAAATTTTTTTGAATACAAATATTTTTTGTCTCAGGTTTTTCAAGAATTTTCCAGACACTTACTACTCTGTAAATATTTAATTATTTAAATATAATATTTTTATTTATATAAATACTCATAATTATTAAACAATATCTCTGAAGTTGAAATGAGGTAGGGTGGCGGGAGAAATCCGATGTTAAAATTTTAAAATTATTTAGCCCGAATAAGTTCATTCCAAATTATAAAAACTCAGAAATGGTGTCAATGTCACTAATTTATGGTCATACAGTCTTCTCCATTTGGCCAGCGCTTTAGTGCTCAAGCCTTTTGTGTTTGCCCACATGCTGGCAAAAAACTTTGGCGAGCACATAAAAAAGCACTTGCCAAAAAAGTTCTTTTTTTAAATTGAAACAAATGATTTTAAACGGAGAAGGCTGGTTATGGTATCTTGACCAATTCAGAAATGTAAAGTTTCAATGTCATTATGTATTTTTAAACTAATCAAGTCAAAACAACAATAAATTAGTCATGTCACGGTGACACGGTGACATAGTTAAAATAACACAAAATGTTAGTTTAACCAAGACTAATTTGTTGTTTGTTTTTGTTTGCATGTTGCGTTTCTTAAAAATTTTCCCAACCAAAACTAAACTATTTAATTTTTATGTGTTTTTGCAACATTTCTTGTAGTATGTAAAGTTATAATTAGTTATAAAACATCAAAAACAGCATCATACTAATTTTTATTTTGTGATATTTCGATCTAATTTGTATAGACCATCATTAGATGTAAATATTAATTTAAAAAACTGTTACAAAATAAAAAACATTACAAAGACGACTCAATAAAAATTATTTAAAAAAAAAAAAGCCAAAACAGTATATTTAATTTGAAAAAAAAAAAAATTTAAGAGCATAGTAAAAGAAACTATTTATACCTGAATTTTTGCTCCTTTGTATCTTATAACACCTAGAAAAAATTACTTTAATTATTTTCATCATCATAATCATGATCATTTTTTATACAAAATTAAAGTAATTAATTCCAAATGTTACAACTTGAACATTAGCAATTATAATAATAATAACAATAATAATAATAACTATAGTAACAATAATAACAATGACAACAATAATTTAAATATTAAATATCAAGTATGCAAATTTAAATAAAAAAAAGTAAACAAGTTTAAAATAAACACAATTATTTTATTTTAACATTAAATTTTCATATAAACTATTTTTTAAATTGCATCTTAAACTCAAATTGATAAATGACTCAGACATTAAGGAGCTGAAAATTTTTTTATTATTACTATAAAATTTATATATTTTACATATTAAAGATGACCTTTAAAGAATATAATCATTATAACAATTGTAATAACATTATTAAAAGTATCAAGTAATAAATTATTAATAATTTTATAAAAAAAGTCTTGAAATCATTCATAGAGATATTTTATAATGGGCTTTATAGTCATGCTCATATTGTTATTCATAAAACAATTAGTAACCAGGTGAGAGAATGGCTTGAAACAGTTTTGCTGTCTATGGCTTTCTGAGTAATCACAAGGCTGAAAACTATGTAAAGATGGTTCAGATTCTCATAAAGATCTATGCTAAAATGAGATTCAGAACGATATTCAAAATCTATATCCTTGACACTCATCTCAATGAATTCAAGGAGAACACAAGAGCTTACTCAAAAGGGCAAGATAAGCACTTTCATCAAGATATATTGCACTTTAAACATATATATTTACAGTACACTTTCAAACTTTGAAAAACTACTTATTTCTGAAACCTTTTGAGTAATATTCTACTGTCTTTGTCTATTCAAAAAAAAATAGTTGTTTCTTTGTTGTTTTTCCACTGTCTTTAGACACTAGTATACAAAAATTGTTACAATGTGAAGATTTTTATTAAATTCATATACTGGAGTGGTATAATTAATAACGTACGTTTTTTGAAAAAAAAAAAAAAAAAACAAAGTTTAAGTATTCTTAAATAAGTTAATGATGTTCAATATATTCTTTAAATTATTATTCAAAAATTAATAAACACCTTTTTTACACAGAAACACTGTGTAAAAAAGTTAAAAAGAAATAAAGTTCAACCCCAGAAAATTAAAAATTGTTTGTTTTACACCAAAAAATGCTAGTTGACAAACAACAAAAAGTTGACAGTATTGCTAGCTTTCTTTGTCAACAAAGTGTATTGAAACCTATGAGAAGCTGTTTATTTTAATTGCTTCAGATACCTCTAAATTTTTTAAGCACTTAAAAATACTTATAACAAAACCATAACAACATAACAACTTATAACAACATAGGAAGTCATTAAATACCGATATATAACACCAAGTTAAAATGAAGCAATAGCTATTTTAACTATTATGCAGACAAACAGTTTAAATGAGTATTTTATTACAATTGAATGGTATTCCATTCTAACTTTGAACCTTAATAATCTCTTAAAAAATTTTAGAATTAGATTTGGAAAAAAGAACCTTTAAATTAAAAAACTTGGTAGTACTAACCTATTTGCTTAAAACAATTGTGTACTTGATTTGTAGAAAGAAAAGAAAACATACAAATATGTGCTTGTTTTGTAGAAAGAAAAAAAACAATCAAACATGTACTTTATTTGTAAAAAGAAAAAAAAAAGAGTGTACTTGATTTGGAAAAAGAAAAAAAACACAACAAGAGCGGAAAAAAACTCTCTTAAAACGAACATAGCAAGCCATGCGAGCTGCTCCTCTAAACTGCTTTACATTATACATATATTATAAACGATCTTACATTATACTTATATTATAAACGATCATTCCATGTAAAACCCATACACTAAACTTAACCTACTCATGTTTACACATGGAGACTTTTGTACGTAATGCTATACAAATGGAATTTTTATATTAAATGTAAATGACAGAAAATCAATTTTCTTCTTGATCTTACTTTGTACACCACATAAGGTGGCAAATGCTTACCTGCTGCATTTTAACAGTATATTAATGAAACTATTAATAGGACTTGTTACTGCTTATGATGCATTGTGGGTTTTACGCTTCTCATTTCATTATGGTTTTCACACATCTGGAATCATTGGTTAAGTTTGTTTGGTCAAAAACTCAATATGTTGTTTTGTTCAATATACCAAAATTCTTTTTCCAAGTTGTCAAAATTATTCACAGTTTTTCATTTGTGTCGAACCCATCAGATATTGCTCTTTAAATTTTGCAATCAATGTATGATATCTCTTGATAAATATCTTGTTCAATTCTTTGCCAAGCAGATTATCTTTGAAATACTTTACTTTTTTTGCCTAATCTGTCATAATAACTTTTAATATTATTTCTTAGATCTATCTCACTAATAGAGTAACAAAATTTAAATATTTTGCTTAAAAAGCTGATGAACACTTCTTCCTATTCTGGAGTTATAGAGAAAGGGCGTCCAATATAAACTTTAGTATTAACTCCTTTTTTTAGTTTTCACGAAAAAGATGCTGTTGATATGCCGAAGTAATCAGATGCATACCTTCGAATTATTATTTTAGCCGTTATTTCTCTAATAGCAGGCTGTCAAGTTATTTTCATTTTTAGTGGGTCTTTTATATAAACTTTTTTTTTTTTTCTTGGAATTTTTTTTGTCATTTTTTCTTATTTAATTGAATTTTTTACATTTTTAAATTTTACATTATTAAAAAAACCAATAAAAAGCTAAAAAATAAAAAATAAATAAATAGAAAAATGACAACTTGACAGCCTGCCAATAGCTCATCTGTATTGTTTTCATAACTTCAAGAGCCTAAACAATGTTTATACACTCGTCATTTTGAGAAATGTTCTTTCGCATAAAGTTTTACACCAATAAAATTTAACTGTTATTTCCACATTGTATATATAATAATATATATAGATACATATATATAGAGAGAAAATAAATTAAACATCAAAACAAAAACATACCTGGGACAGTAGTTAAAGTAGTAAACTCATAAGAGGCTACTTCAGAATACACACCAGCTAAATTCGAAAGCAAAGTAGATTTGCCAACAGACGGAAAACCAACAAACCCAATTCTTGAGTCTCCTGTTTTAGCAACATCAAAACCTAAAAAAATAAAATGTTATGTTACTAAAACATTTTTTTAAAAAGAGTGTACAATAAAAAATTTAAATAAAAAGAAGACAACTAAAAAAAACTTTCAAATTCAAATATTGTATACTATTGCATATAAAAGAATATGTAGACAAAAAACCTTATGGGTGCATGCATAGTTATACATGAAAATTATAAAATACCTTCCCCTTTTCCACCACCACCACCACTTTTAGGTTCAATTAGCTCACGTCTCATTTTTGCGAGTTTGGCTTTCAGCATACCTAAGTGGTAGCTTGTTGCTTTATTTTTCTGAGTACGAGCCAT